CGTGCAAAGCACGATTTACACTCGGACGGTGTGCCAAGGGCCTATTTACAACTCTAAGGAAATCCTTCGGCTTCCGATAAGCCAACTTAATACTTTACACTCGTCGTTTCTCAACGATATTAGGCATCCAACTAAACGAAGCAATCCTGAGAAAATATTGGATTTATAGAGGTTGCGACACAAGTTTAATATACTTGCCTGCAATGATGTGCCCGGGCAGGTTTAATTGAATAGCATTTAGGACAACGAACGATGTTCGCGTGTTCATCACCAGTTGCGCTAAAGATCCGATAGGCAGCTTCCTTGGTGGCGTTACCGATGGGAATACTTCCCTGCCATGACATAAATAAACACATCTCATGATTGAAAAATAAAAATATCAATTTACGAAGCAATTTAAACTAACCGGATCAGTAAAAACCGTCTTCAGATGAGAGATAAGAGCAAGCGCTGTTAACGTATGAAAAATAACACCGCTGATTAAACGGAAAGTGTGGGCCTGGGTCTGCATAAGTACTATTCCTCCAATGACAAATTCGCCATACAGTATAAGAAGCCAGGTAAGTACTACACAGGCAAATCCGCATGAATCTCGAACGAACCATACCATTCCGAAAGGAATTGTTCTACCATTTTCACAAGCAAGTGCAAGCTGGTTAGTTTTTGGAGGAGGTCTACAGCCAAATAATCGACGGCACAACATAAGACAGTCGCAAAAGTCACCAGTGGGTCGCTTTGCTGTCCTTCGGTGAGTAGCTGCAGAGTCATCCCAGTCTTTTTCATCGACATCACGGTTGCCGCGAAAGCGTGCAGGGCTGTCTTTTGAGTTAATTTCAGGTGATTCGAGAACTCCTCCAGGAATGTAAACATTACCAGAATCAGAGGATGAGGGATAGTACTGCTGTCTAGGATAACTAGGATGAGAGCCAGACTTAAGAGCTAAATGAAAAGCGGTTTCGTTGGTAGCAGAGATTGAATCATTTGCTGGGGCTGCATAAGAACTCTCGTCTCCAATGGAGTAAGTTGAAGTGAAAGCATTAGCATCGTTAACAAATGGAGCTGAAAATAAATTGAAAATTAGGGTTAAATGTATCGGAAAAGAAAGATAGCTTATTCATACACATCATGTTTTAAAAATTATTACATATATTAGTCATATCTGATTTTTCGATCAATAAAGGGACCTCATCCATTTTTAAGGAGTTATAAGGATCATCGAAAATAAAATAGACG